AGAGTGGGGAGCAGAACAGGCAGATCAACGAATTTCACTGCTGAGGGGAGCAGCGGGCGGGTCAGGAGAGGTCTGCCACACCATGTGGTCACCTCTGGGGCAGGCGGGATTGAACTCATGCGAAAGTGGCTTTAGCTCCTTAGTGCTGTGCTTTAACCCACTGTGCCACCAGGGAGGACCCATAGTGCTGTTTTAACCCTTTTGTCACCAGGGAAACCCTGATTTTATTTATTTGTGCATAGACAAGCTGGTGATCAAACTTAGGACATTTCAGTAGGCAATAGCGGTGATAGTGCTGAGACCTAACCCCTACGTCATGAGGGAGGCCCGAAAACTGTTAGAATTTTTCTGATCACAGTCTTCTTTGCTTTTTGTCCTCAAGGTTTGAGAAAAAGAAAAAGCAGTCACTTCAGAAAGTAGTTGGAGTGTCCTATTCAAAGACATGATTAAAATTGCCGGGATGGTAATATGCAATAATGTCAACTGAATGACTGCAGTGTAGTATTGGGTAAAATTTTAATTGCTTCTTGACAATGTACTCTTTCACCATAATCTTTCTGTTCTAGTAACATAAAAAGATCATAAAACTTGCTTTTATTCTTAGATTCTCTGTGATTCATATAAGGGTTTTGAATATGGTTTCTTTCAACAAAACCATAGTAGCAATGTAAGCCTGTAGGTCAGCACATTTGGTGTTGCCTGTTTTAGTAAATTTACATTTGGTTAGCTTCTGTTAAGGAACAATATTATTTTCAAGCAGATGACATGTTTTATTTGCTAGGTGGATCCCTGATGTCTATATAATAATATAAGCCCTAAGCTGCCATGGGCTGTGTTAGTCTGCTGGCTTCCAGATGTGATATCCAGCTGTTTGGCAGGTTCCACTTCTGTGACTCATGGAAACTTTTGTATTTCCTCACTGTGAGTTAGTTGCCCTACTGAGTTCATTGGTTAGAAAAGTGGGAATTGGAGTCTTCCTTTTTATGTTTATAGAAAAGAGCAAAAGTGCTATGAATAATAAAAATTACTGAGTGCATACAGCTGGTATTCATTGTGTGGGTTCATTTGAAAAATGGCATACCTGCTTTTCATTGATTATATGGTAGTGCTTGACATAAAGTTTTTCACATAACACTATTATTGGATGGCCACTCATTCTTCATGTACTTACTCAATAAGTTATCAACAAATCCTTGTTACAGGTATGAATAAGAAGTATCCCTTGCAGTGAGAGTATTTTATTATCTAAGAGTGCTGTATTTGCACACTTTATTTTACAACCTTGAGTGTGGCTTACTATTCCCAAAGACAGCCAGGGTACATCTCTGGTCTTTACCCAGTTCTTGTATACATAGATAAATAAATAAATAACATCTTAAAGAAAAAAAGAAAAATTCTATGCATGTTATCCTTTACCCAGGTTGGAAACTACTATCAGAGAGGCTTGGTAGCAAGAACTGATTTGGAACTCTATCAGATAAGCATATAGTTGGCCCTTCCAATCTGTTGGTTCTAAATCTTCAGTCAACAACCCACAGCTTAGAAATCCTCAAATAAGTTTACATTCTTGTGTGTATACTCTCCCCTCAGTATTTTCGGAAATACTGTCTTTGATGAGAGGGGTGTGTGGGAAGTGGGGGTTTTGGAGGTGGGGGGTTGGTGGGAAGTTGGGGGAGATGGAGAAGTAAAATATATTAAAATAGGTAACATTGTTAAGCACAATTGACAGTTTTTACAGCTGTTGTTTCCAGAGAAGATTCAAAATATTACTTATAGAAATATTCTGATATTTAATAAGAATCTGTAATATTTAGGGTTGGCACAGACTTTTTTTTAGAGAATTTTTACAAATTTAATATCTGTTAAAGCACAGCATTTCTGAGCTTGAATGACTGTGCAAGTATAAGGTGAAGTATAAAGCACAGGTTAATCAAATTGTTCAAAAGTAAAGTCTAATTTGAATTATGAGTATGTACACAGTAAAAATCTTTGAAATCATGGGATGATTCCAGGCCTAAAAATATGGACTTTATGTTCCCAATTTTGGCACAGTCCTTTGAAAATACAGTTAGATGTACAGGGAGGAAACTTGGTGTACAGTTTACCTTTCAAAAGCCCTCTGTCCAAACCCAAGATATTGCCTAATTTATGGAACTAAGACCATGTCCCTGCAGCAGGACCAAAGAACTCACTACCGGAACCTTTGTGCTGTATTTCTTCGCTCCCGGCCGGTGCACATACGCGGAGGACCGTGCCTGCCAAGTGCCTGTTGGTAGGAAGAAGCTTGGCGTCGGGTCTGAGGGGGCTTGGTAGTCGCTGTGACTGTGACTTGAAGCAATCGCCGGGTATAGTTCGTGGGAAAGAAGGCACCATGGACGACCAGGGCTGTCCTCGGTGTAAGACCACCAAATACCGGAACCCCTCGTTGAAGCTGATGGTGAACGTGTGCGGTCACACTCTGTGAGTCGGGCGACTCTGCATTCCTTGGGGATGGGAAGCGCAGGGTGGGAAGAGAGCAGGGAACTTGCTTTGCCTCGACTGCCAAGAGAAGGCCCAGTTTAGTTCGACCTTGGGGAGGAAAAGGGAAAATTGTGAAAACCTTCTGTAGCCCTTATCCCCGAGAGAGTCTGGCCTGCATTCGACTGCCGGTTGCCAGATGTACGCAGTTTGTCAGGTTCCCCTTCCACTGCCTATGGAAATTTCAGCTGTATTTCCAGGCTGTGTGGTTAACTGAATTCCAAACCTATCGCTGATCAAAAGCATGGGTGGGGGTGATCCAAGTGTTCAATTCTTCGCGAAATGTTTTTCACTGAAAAGAGCGAAAGTACTGTGAAAATAAGTGACTGATATAGGAAGTTATATGACTTCTATTCATTAATTTGGAAACCGTCTGTATGCCCACCTGGCTGATGGAGTCTGATCATTAAATTGAAGAAAATTCAGGCTCTAGGCAGTTAATTTTGGAGATAACATAACGAGTGGCATTTATTGAGTGCACGTTATGTGCCAACGACTGTTCTAAGCACTTTACCATCAATTATCTCACTTCATTCCCACAACACGAAGTAGTTACTAGTATCATCATCACTTAAGAGAGCAGGAAACAGATTACTCAAAGTTGGCTCTGGTAGAATAGAACACTGGATGCCTGACGCTAGAATGCCCATTTTAGAGGCGATGGAGGTTGAGTTGGTGCGTTTTGAAGAATAAGGGCAGAAAATGGTCTGAGTGTTTCTTGTCGCAAATTGTGGTCAAATGTGCTTTTGTAAACGTGGTTCCACCAGAGCACTTTGGGAGGAAAGGTACTGCCTTATGGTGAGCATATTTCCTTTATTATTTTCTCATAGCAAAAATAATGGGTGATCCACATGTGGTATATGGAGGCTTTGGGTAAGAAAAGTTGCATGCTTAGTTGTAATTATAATGGCATTTAACAGGGCCTTTTTTCTAATTAATCTTGATTCCCCCCCCCCACCTTGCTTTATTTAGCATAGGAAATACAGAATTATGCTTGCATCGTTTAAGATTAAATTGAAGCAAACACTGTGTATAGACCATTCGCTTTTTAGAGGAATTTCATTCAGTTTCTCTTCTGCTTACCTGTATTAGGTTTTTATAGTCTGTGCTCAAGGAAAGGACATTTGTGTTTTTGGAAATAAATCAAGTAATTTACTGGAAGAAACGGCTGCTTAGTAGATTATGTAATTTTGATAAAATAATGGCATTTTATTAGACAATTGTATATACTTATTTTTAGTTAGAAATTGCTTTTGTTGTATCCTTAGTCCTTTTTTGTTTATAAGAGGTAAGAATTGTCTAGGTCATTCTGATGTCTGTTTTGGTTTATTTGCTAGCTTATATAGACCCCAGTTTATAGTTCTTTTTTGACTTAGAATAGGAACAAAATGAGTAAGATTATAGTATATTGGATTAAAAAATATTTAAAATAATTTACTTACAGGCTCTGTGACTTTGTGCAAAGTAATAACTTGTACTAATTTTTCTTATTTGTATAGTAGAGATAATATTACTACCAGTATCACAGTGAGGATAAAACAATATGTAAAATATTTGGAGGTATTTAGTACAATTATTGTCACTTAGTGTCTGTTGATATAGCTTGACTGTCATATTAGCATTTTATGATAATGGATGATAAGCAGAAATGGAATTAAAACAGGATTTATTTGCCATGCTATGAAAGATTTACACGATAATGAGTATCTTTAACTGAGAGCCACAGGTAATATTATTTAGCCTTAGCATTTGTATTAGTAATCTATTGCTATAATAAATTACCCCAAAACATAGAAGCTTAAAATAGCAAACATTTCTTATTGTACACAGTTTCTGAGAATCGGGAATTTGAGAGTGTCTTAGCTGAGTGAGTGATCCTGGCTCTGGTATTCCATGAGGTTGTGTAGAGCTATCTCAAACCAGTGTCTGTTTCCAAGATCCTTCATGTGACTGCTGGCAACAGGTTCAGTTCTTAATGGCAGAAGAAAATCAGCTTTTCAAAATTTTAACATAAGACAAATGTCCTGATAAGTGAAAGTCAATATTTTGCCACACTTACTTAATTATGCAAAATCTTTCTTCCTTTTGATTTTCTCTCTCGCTTTTTTTTTCCTTATATACTTATATTACTGGGAAATAGGTCCTGAAGAGTTACTAGTCTGAATTTTGCTGATTGCATCTTTGTGGTTTTGTTGAATATGTTCCTCTGTATGTTCTCTAAACAGTTAATTGTATTTTGAAGTTTTATTAGCTTAAGATTCACTTTATTTGTTGACAAGGGTAATTCATAAATGGTACTCACTCAATTAAGTAACATGCTGGGCATATCTGGTACCATTGTGGAAATTAGGTAGCAGTGTTTCTGGGCAGAAAAGTAGGAGAAAACTCACTCTGGGTAGAATTAGAAAAAGGGAACTAATAGATAATATCATTGTTTATTTCTAATTTTATTCTGGGCAGAAAAGTAGGAGAAAACTCACTCTGGGTAGAATTAGAAAAAGGGAACTAATAGATAATATCATTGTTTATTTCTAATTTTATTCTGTTGTGGTAAAAGAACATTTAAAAAACTTAAATCTTTTGAAAATTTCTAAAAACATTTATAATCCAGCATATGGTTTATCTTGTTGAACAATCAGTGTACATTTAAAAGAATATGTATTTCATGACTCTTGGGTGTAGAACATTTTAAATATCAATAGGCCAATTTGATTGATAGTATTAGATTTTATGTATCCTTACTAATTTATCTTATGTACTCATTTTATCAGTTATTACAACTCTGATTGTAGATTTGTCAATTTACCTTTTTTTTTTTT